TGCTCTGATTACTTCTTTGGAACAGATCAGAGCCGGAAAAATGTTACTTGCTGGTCTCTCAAGAAGGTACTCACAGAATCTGATTGCAGAATCAGCAGACAGGAAAGGCCTGATCCTGGGGCATGGTCCCCATCCCCACTGGACTCTCAGGAAGTCTTGTAAAGACCCAGAGCACTCTGTCATGGCTGTCTGGCTGCATCATCCGAACCTCCCTACAGTTTCTCATGTGCTCCTTCTGTTGTGTCCAATACTTAGTGATGTTCATCCAGTGATAAGAGCCTTCCTTCTCTGGTAGCAGTATGAAGCTCATAGTTCAAGGCTGTAGTAGAAGAGACTGCCAGGACCTGGCTTTTCTGATCTTGTAAATAATGTTATGATGCACAAAGTGATCTTGAAAGCATGCTGCCGATGCTTGTTACTATTCAGTTTCCCAGCAATGGAGGAAGACCCTAGCAGGAAGAAAGAAACATGAATATTAAAAATTAGATGCCAAAAGCTTAAGTTGTTTCTTCAACATGATCCAGAGTTTGAAAATACAGCATCTAGTCCAAGAGATTGCTCTGATCCACCTTCACCATGTTAGATAATTTCCCTTGAGACACAGCTTTCCAGACAACAGGGTGGCACCTCGGGATTTACTGTGCTGTGTAAACCCCTCCTAGAAAGACAGACCACTCAAACCCAGAAGCATTTAAAAGGTGGAAGATTACATAGCTGAATCCAGGGGAAGTGGAGCTAGGTCTTGTGGAAAGGCAGAATTTTGAGGGCTAGAAAGGCCCTCTAGAGGTCTCTAGTCCAACAACTTGTTTGTGGCATGGCTAACTCCAAAGCTAGATCAGGCAGCTTGGAGGAAAGTTCTCAATGTCTCCAGGGATGGAGGTCTGACAGCCTCTCTGGGCACCTGTTCTAGTATAGCACTGCTGTTGGGGGAGACCTTTTCCTTCTGTCCAGTTTAATTTCCCTTGTTGCAGTTCATGCCTGTTGCCTCATTTCCCCTCTGTGCAGCTCTGAGGAGAGTCTGGCTCTGTCTTTGCTGCCTTTATATAGTGGAAAACTGCAGTTAGATCCCACTTGGCCTTCTTTTCTTTAGGTCTAACAAAGCCAGTTCCCTCATCCTCTCCTTGTAGGGTAAGTGCTCCAGCCCTCTGACCATTGCAGTGGTACTCCACCAAACTCTGTCTCATTCCTCAGTGTCTGTCTTATGCCAGGGAGGCCAGGACTTGACACAACAGTCTGTATTTCTCTGGAGCATGGGCCTGGAACTCACTCTCCTCATTACACATCTGCGTAATTAGTACAACGGGGCTCGGCAT